AGTCGGAGGCGTTTCTGGATGTAGTTGGTATGACTTCTACTGTGCATAGTACAGTCTTAACTTGTATTTATGGACACAGTGACGGATGAAGTTTAATGACAACAATTTATCAAAGTATTCCCGAGCCCATGAGGTTATATCCATTACAGAAACATGCAGGCTTTTAATGCAGTGCTGTCTGAGGTGTTGAACATGGGAAGTGTGGTTTCTGGCCTTGCTTTTTGCACACAAATACTTCTCAAGATTCCTTCAATCTTTTGATGATATTATGCACTGTAGAGGGTGAAATACCTAAATCCTGACAATTACTACAGTTGGACTATTTCTTAACGTAAAAAGGTCTAGGTCTTTCCTGGGTTTTTCCCCTGTTTCAGATGTTTTTTGAACATTCTGCAATGTTCCCCTTACCAAATAACTTCACCAAATGTTTTGGTAGTGACAATTTTAGCTTATTTTGAGCAGAGCTAAAAAATGCTAGCCAGCACATGACCAGCAAACACAGCTTTGAACAGTTGTACACTGATTTTCAGACTTTACTTCAACATATTGGGTTTTAACTGCTCACCATATGGCCATGAGGTGCAGGGGCATGGCTTAAATAAGGCTCCACCTACAGACTAAAACTTTGTGTTTCAGTAGTGACATGAAAATGTAGGTTGGCATTTTTTAATTTAAAAATTAATTACGTTTTTTATTTAAAAATTCAACTCACAAATCTAAATCTTTCAACCTCACCTTAAAATAAATCAAAAAATATTTTAGCTTACTACTGTTTGTTAATATCTTGGGTTTAGTAGATTTAAACCTTGTAAATATATAAGGTCTCTTTTTTCTGTTTTTGATTCGCAAGAATGCTTTATATAATTGGCCTGTTTGACAAATGTAAGTTGTCAAGTTTGTCTTTCACGTATTTCTTCTCAAACAGGGTGATTCTGGTTCTGGTTTCCTGAAGAAAGAGATGATTTCAAAATCATTTTTCATTTTTTGGAGCAAGGAGAAGAAGGCAGACGTGCTGTATGGAGTTCTCATTAGCGGGCATGATGCATGCGAAGATAAATTTATTTTTGTTGACCTCTGTGCCAAACGGATAAAGAAGTGGATAGATAAACTTGTGTCATAAACCATGATGAGACAGAAGGTCTCCTATAGTTGCAAAGTCTTAATATGTATAAGTAAGAAAAGCTATAACTGGGCTGCAATCACAAGGTTATTTAGGTTAAACAGAACAGTGTTTTAGTACTTACTTGTTTGTTTTACTACAATCTAAGTTTGCTTTTCAGATTTCTCTGATCTTCTCTGAGCAGGTCTTACTGCAGAACTCTGCAGTTTTGTTGTTGGCAGTTTTCTGTTCTTTGAGGAACTCAGTTTGGTATTTTTTGTCACTGAAGGTGAAAAGAAGTGGCCAATAAAATGTTCAACAGTAACAATTTACCATGTCATGATTTTATTAAGCCTGAGACAAACCCAAAGTTCACTTTCTAACAAAAGAATCCCACTTTAGCATATTTTAACATAATTTTGGATCTACATCTTAATTAAATCTTTAATTTTTGGTAAACTGTACATAATAACGATGGGCAGATCGAAACTAAAACACTGATGCTTCCGAAACCGACGTTTTTCTTTCAGGATCCTCTTTAAGCATTGAATTTAATATACATCAGTATTAGTAAAAAATACATTCGTATTATTAAACCAAGCAAGTGAGAACATGATCATAGCAAATAAATAAGTTGGACAGGAATTACTTTTTTCTTCCACCCTCTCCCTCTGACGACTGAATTAGACTCAGTGAACACTCTTTTCTGGCAGATCATTTGAAGTTATTTCCCTAAATAGACAGTTTTGTAGAAGTTTATTTGATATTAATGCTGAGGCTTTTAAATATAACTTTTAATATCCACTTTTTTACCAGTTTCACCTTCTCCTGCAGAAAATCAGAATCATTTGTCCCGCTCCCGCCCGCAACTGAAACGTTTTGTCCCACCTCCGCCCGCACAGCTTCGTCAAGGCGAACTGACATCAAGTATTTGACTCAGTCTATTTACAAATACATTGTTCTCTGCTGAAATGACACAGCAGTCATGGTTGTCAGGCTCACTGTGAGTAACTTCACCAAACACCATTTATTCACCATTTAAACATAAAGCAGGAATTAAACAACAGAGCACTTATTTTTGGTGCTTCGCTGGGCAGCTGTGGCCGTCAGACTGATTTCATTCATTTTACAGTTTCACTGTTACCGTTTGTTGTTTATATATATGTTTTAGTGATTGTTCTACTTTATTTAGGCTGTTAATTAATTTGCAGGATTTCTCTTGCTAATTAATTAACAGCCTAAATAAAGTAGAACTTTATTTAGGCTTATATCAGAGCAGAGGTTAATTCCAACCTGTATCAAATAAGCTGTCTCTCATACTTGTGGTTGAAACTACATACTCAAAACAGGTTCTTCAAGGGTTCTTTAATAAAGCAAATGGTTCTGTACAGAACCATGCACACTCAAAGAACCTTTTTCATGATTAAAGTGTTCTTTGTGTCATGTAAGATTGATGGAGAGTGTGCTGTGAATGGTTCTATATAGAATCTTTTTGAAAAGGGTTCTATTTAGCACCTAAAAGAGTTCTTCTTTTGTAACTTTTTTGTAAGCTTGACATTGTAACAATAGAAGGACACCTGTTTGGTGCTATACAAAACCCTTTTTGAAAAGGTGCAATATATAAACCATCTACAGAACAATCTCCATCAATCTGAAGAATCATTTCACAATGCAAAGAACGACTTAATCATGCAAAAACGTTCTTTGAGTTCTATATAGAACCATTTTCTTTACTAAAGAACCCTTAAAGAACCATCTTTTTAAGCATGTAGGCTCTGCAGGAAGGTAGCTCTCCAGCACCAGGGTTACACCCCTAGTGGTGTAAAAGTGTAATCACATGTAAACCGATGCATAAATTCCCTTTTAAGTTCAGCTCTTTCTGTAGAATTGTCTGAATGACTGTTCTTATATTCTGCAAAATATTCTAAAACATTGTAGAGATAAGCAGTAAATTTAATATTTTGATTGAAACAAATTAAAGCGATATTTTTCATCAAGCCAAAGCTCATCAATCAGCCTCTGTTTACAGTGTATAGATGAAGTGCAAACAGGTGACACAGATGACAGCTGATCTAAGCTCATGCTAAACATACAGTGAAATCATATAACGACACATCTGAAGATTGACTGTGATGATGTAGACCGAGGCTAATCATTAAGGTGTTGCGCATTTTAGCTTTTCATATTATTTCATATCAGAAATTCAATGTAAACAAGTAACATTCATTATACTGGTAAAAATAACATTTATAAAAAACAACATTCAAAACTGTATTTTTATTTGTAGAAATTATGTTCTAGCATATACAAATTCAATTTGCACTAGAAAGTATGGCTTTTCTAATAAATTCTGCAGTACCTCTGCTTTCCACTAGGTTAGGGTCAGTAATTCCCATTCTCTCTCATGTTACCACATCAAGTTTTTCACTTTCATGCATTTACGCACAGCAGCATTTTCATGTGTACATTCCCATCATATATATATTTTGATTATGCCTTTAATACCTGTAGAATTGTTTGTGAAGTGCACAGAATGATGATAAAAACATTCAAACATTTTTAATATTGTTTAGAAGAATTTCTAATAACTTTCTACCATAACTATGACTTTTTGGTAGACTATATGTGATATAAACTGGTAGAAATTACATTTCTAAAAAAATCAACATTTAAAACTATATTTTTATTTGTAGAAATTATGATCATACCGTCGCTGTCCAATGAAAAACATCTATTTCCATTTTTCATGATTTTTACTATCCTGCATGATTTACATTGTGTGAAAATTTCATAATTGGACCAATCGAAATGCTCCAAAATTGCTTGGAATAAAATCTCTTTCCATTGACTTACATAGAAAGAAAAGAAAGTTTTTGCCCTCTCCTATAAAGTTACTATTTTGGAGATACCTGTTTTTCTTTGGACAGCGACGAGATACAAATTCAACACTGTACGGCTTTTCCCCAATGATTTTATTGGAAGGAGCAATTTAACTAGTACAAATGAGTTTAACCTGCAATAACTGAACTGTTAAAAGTAAAATAAAAAATGAAAACTGAAATAATTAAGTAAACATTATTAAATCATTGCATGTTCTAGTTGAAAAAAAAAAAAGATCATTAGATTTTCAGAATGCAAAGTTTTACTTGTAAGAGCTAAATATTGACATGTAACAGTTCAGTTTCTCACATGCTTCCATTGCTTTCTGGGGTCTTTTAAAGGGACATTGTTTATAGCTGTTGGGGGGACATTTCCTTATGTAAATGAGCAGAGCTGTTACACAAAGATGAAAGCTGTGTCCAAAAAGTTAAGCTGCCGTCAAGAAAGCTGAGTGCTCGGTAAATTTGTTCTATAAAGGCTCTTTGTTTGTATTTCATAATGCAAAATCAAACACTCTACAAAAGGGTTCCCTTCCAAGATATTCACAAATATTTTTATGCTATTCATTATTTATTATTTTATATTATATTTTACAAAATATACAATTAGATATATTATTATAAATATATACTGTATATAATGTATAATGAACGCTAGTGAATAATACACACAATGTATGAAAAAAAATTAATAATAATTAGCCAATTTATTATTTTTTTCTCCCCTTTCTTGTTTTTATATTCTTGTTTCTTTATATTCTGGTCTCAATCTGGTACTTAACTACTCCAAAGTCTTGAAGGCTCAATGTCTTCAGGACTCGGTCTTGACTCGGACTCACCTCTAGTGGTTTTGACAGGGAGAATTTAGCATGTCCAATTGGCCTGACCATATGTCTTTGGACTGTGGGAGGAAACCCACACAGACATGGGGAGGACATGCAAACACCACACAGAAAGGACCCTAGGCTGATAAGCTGCAGTGTAGTGTGACTGGTGAGGAACTGGAGAAGGTGGGGTGACGGTTGGTGCTGAGCAGGTTTAAAAGTCAGATACGTTTGGGATCTTCTCCAGTCCAGGAGCTGAAGACGTTCTCACCATGGCCAAGACTGCTTTCCTGATTCTCGCACTTTGGGCAGCAGGTAAGTAGGAAAACTCTCCAAACTCACAATTAATACAGAAGAAAAATAGTTCAAACTGGAATGAGGTTTTCCATAGTCTGATTAATTTGTGTAATTACTCTAAAAATGAATGTATCATTTGCTTTTACATTTAGAAAAAGAGATTTTAACCTTTTAAACTCCTTGAGACCACCGGTGGTTCCAAAACGCACTTCATCATATTTTTCATAACTTTCATTTTTCATAATCTACATTCAAAAGGTGGGGGTCGTATGAGAGCTGTAACTGTCTTCTTTCCAGTCAAATAGATGGTTGGTGTAGTTTAGAAAACTTTATAGTAAAAGAAGCTGAACTCAGTTTTTTTTTTTCTACTGAAAGTCGACCCATTTTTCCACAAATCTGGGCTATAAACTATAAACAGATGGCGTCTCTTCAGTGATCTGCTCTGTATTATTTTTATAAAATATTACAAAGAGCATCTAAGATTTTTGGCTTTCAGCAGTAAATTGTAAGCATATCGCAATATGTGTAGATCATAAAACACATGTTCTGTTAATTTGAGGGGAACTTTTACAAAAAATAAATAAACAAAAATTTACATTTATTTCATGCAGTTATTGAATAATTTGCCTTATGATTTGGTCATATAAATTCAGATGGAAAAAACAAAATATACCCATGAGCATAAGAGATTAGTAGATTCTGTAGTCTTCTTCTGAGCTGTAGTGGTTCAGCTCAGTAGTAGTTACATTCAATACAGCTTTACATTACATACAGCTTAAAGGAGCTTGACGATATGGGTCTCTATGGCTGAGCTGGCACACAAAACATTAAAATCTAAATGCACAATGCCAAGCGTTGAGGGGTCAGGGAGGTGGGAATGGTGTAAAGCACACCGCTACTGGGCTCTGGAGCAGTGGAAACATATGCTGTGAATCACGCTTTTCTATCTGTCAGTCTGATGGACGAGTCTGGGTTTGGCGAATGCAGGGAGAACATTACCTGCCTGACTGCACTGCTCCAGCTGTACAATTTGGTGGAGGAGGGAAAATGATGTGGGGTTGTTCCAGTGAAGGGAAATCTTAATACTTCAGCAGACCAAGACTTTTTGGACAATTGTATGCGTAACTGTTTGGGGAAGGCCCTTTTCTGTTCTAGCATGACTGAGCCCCAGTGCACAAAGCAGATCCATAAAGTCATGGCTGGGTGAGTTTGGTCTGGAAGAACTTGACTGGCCCTCACAGAGCCCTGACCTCAACCCCATCCAACACCTTTGGGATGAACTAGAATGGAGAAGAAAAACTAGTTAACTAACTGATCTCAACAATGTCATTCATAATTAGCCACCATGTTAAAATGATTATTAGCAAATACAGTAACACAGATAATGTTGATCTTACCATAGAGTCTGTTAATTGTTTAGTCATTGAGCTGTGAGTTTGTTCTTCCACAAAGTTTAATCCAAAAGTTTCTCTTCATCAGTAATCAATTAAAAACAGCTCCACCCTCCAGATGATCAGGACTGTCCTATCTGCAAATAAAAAATGACTCAGTTATTGTCCAATAATTCAGGCTAATTTTCTCTCGCTGACGTTCTCACTGCAGGTTTGTTTTGAGGAGTTCTGTTCTGACACTCCTGTTCTGAAGAATGTTATGTTTAGACACTGTGTCAATCATAATTTTGGAAATACATTCTGGTCCTTAAGTAACCCTGCACTGCTAGACATCGATAGCTCTCTACATGAGGTTGTGTTAGAGTTTTTCCAAGACTAACACTCTTTTTTACTGTCACCTCATTAACTAGATGATGAATAAAGTTCTACAGTGTTCTACGATAAAGATTGATCTAAATGATTCAGTCCACTCTTTGTACCTAATAAATCTCAGCCTTATTCTCTGTAGGTGTGACTTCGTCTGTTGTTGAAAAGCGTTTGGTATCTGCAATTACGTGTCCTGATACTGAGAAACGCTATCATGTGCGGGTGGTGCACGAGTTTCATGATGGGAAGAGCATGACGTGCGGTGGAACTCTCATCCATAAACACTGGGTTATAACTGCATCTCACTGCTATGTCGGAAGAGACGGGTTAGTAGCTTCTAGTATAGTATAGTGAAAAAAAAACACATTTCTTTTATTTTGCTCTTACCCTAACATGAAGTTACACTATATGGACAAAAGTTTTGGGACACACCTCCTAATGATTGAGTTCAGGTGTTTCAGCCACACCCATTACTTACAGACAGGTAAAATTAAGCACACAGCCTTGCAGTCTTGATAGTCAAACCCTGGCAGTAGAATGGGTTGTACTGATGAGCTCAGGGACTGTGGCACTGTCATAGGATGCCACCTCTGCCACAAATCATGTTGTGAAATTTCTAGATCTACTCCAGCCAACTGTAAGTGCTATTATTGTGAAAATGGCAGCATCTAGGAGCAACAGCAGCTTAGCCATGAAGCGGTAGACCATGCAAAGTCACAGGGCGGGGCTGCCAAATGCTGAAACACACGGTGTCTATACTCTGTTAAATCACTCACTAAAGATTCCAAACTGCCTCTGGAAACATCAGCAAAAGTACTGCATCTTAGGAGCTTCATGAAATGGGTTTCCATGGCCAAACAGCTCCACACAAGACTACAATCAAAATGCACAATACAAAGCGATGGATGGAGGGGATCTAACGCGCTGCCACTGGACTCGGGAGCAGTGGAAACGTATTCTGTGGAGTGACCAATCATGCTTCTCTATTTGTCAGTCTGATGGACGAGTCTGGGTTTGGCGAATGCCAGGAGAACGTTACCTGCCTGACTGCACTGTGCCAGCTGTAATGTTTGGTGAGGGAAGGATAATGATATGGGGCTGTTTTTCAGGGGTTGGTCTAGAACCCTAAGTTCCAGTGAAGGGAAATCTTAATGCTTCATCAAAACAAGACATTTTGGATAACTGTATGATTCCAACTTTGTGGGAACAGTTTGGGGAAGAACCTTTCCTGTTCCAGCATGACTGAGCCTCAGTGCACAAAGCAGCTCCATAAACGCATGACTGGGTGTGTTTGGTGTGGAAGAACTTGACTGGCCCTCACAGAGCCCTGACCTCAACCCCATCCAATGCCTTTGGGATGAACTAGAATGGAAACTGTGAGCCAGGCCCTCTTGTCCAACATCAGTGTCTGACCTCACAATTTCTCTTCTGAGTGAATGGGCAAAAATTCCAACAGACACACTCAAAAATCTTGTAGAAAGCTTCCCAGAAGAGTAGAAGCTGTTACACCTGCAAAGGGGGGATCAACTCCATATTAATGCCCATGGATTTTGAATGGGACATCATAAAAACTCCTGGTGGTATAATGTGTAGTTGTCCCAATACTTTTGTCCATATTGTGTATGTATCTTTATTTCTGCTCTGTAACTATGCAGCTAATGTGGCTAAGTGGTGGAGGTTTATACCTCTCTAACTAGTATCATGCTAACTGCATCACAATGCAAGTTCAGCTGTTAAGGTTTCTCATATGGACTTAGTTTAGTTTAACAGACTAAGTTAGACTTAGAAAGGTTCATGTCTGCCAAGTCCTATCAATGGAAAGAATGTTGTGTGGGCCCATGCATTCATATTATCCTTTTTATTTGCCTCCATCAGCACGTTGAAAGTGGAGATCGGTGGCCATCCGATGACAGCTGTAAAGAAACAACTGCGTATTAAAAAGAAAAACATCAGGGTTTATGCCGAGAACCTAAAAGAACCCATCATGTTGCTGAAGCTTCCAGAGTCTGTGAAAAATATCAAGCCTGCTTTGCTGGTGCCTGGAGACTGCATAGCTCCGAAAGATGGAGAGGAACTGCAGGTTTCTGGCTACGGTGCCACGACAGCTGAAGGAGGTGACACATTTAGAGTAGTAGAAGTAGCAGTGGTGGTAGTAATGAATGTAGAAATAATGTAGTATAGTAATAGCAATTGAAAAGAAGTAAGGACTGCTGCTGTACATCCTGGAACAGTAACTCATAAACTGTTTATTTTAGGTCCGGGTGTAAAAGATCTGATGTGCCTGGAAGTTAAAATCCTCAGCAAGAGTCACTGTCCAGATTTGTCCGGCACCAACTATGAGAAGTTCACCTATATCTACTGTGGGGGAGGAGTCGGTGGTGCAGAAATCAAAGCCTGCCAGGTGAGAACATTTGTGTTAATTGTCTTAGCTAGTTAGCTACTCTTTATTGAAGCTTCTAACACTATGTTTGGTTTGTTATACCGGTAAATTATCCATAGAGAGTTAGACGATGCATTAGTTATGAAGGTAAATTGTTCAGTGTTACAGGTGCAGTGTGTAAGATTTAGGAGGATCTATTAGCAGGAATAGAATATAGTACACAAAGCCACGTTTTCATTAGTGTATAATCATCTGTAACTACGATCACTGTTAGATTAGAACGAGCCCTTCATATCTAGTCAGGGAGCAGGTTCTCTTCCAACAGAGGCCGTCATGTTGCCCTGTCATGTTTCTACAGTAGTCCAGAACAGACAAACCAAACATTGGCTCTAGTGGGCACCTTTTGGGTTTGTATGGTGGAGTGGCAGCTTGAATTTGGTGGTGCTATAGCTTCGATTGGAAGACGTAGAAAGGAGAAGAATCATTTTGTGTTCTGAAAAGTTTAATTAACGTTAAGTTTAGATTAAGTGACCCTTATTAGTCCCACAGCAGGGAAATTTCACCTCCATATTTAACCCATCCATGCAGTGAAACGCCACAAACACACTAGGGAACACACACACCTAGGGGGCAGTGAGCACATTTGCCCAGAGCAGTGGGCAGCCCTATCCACAGCACCCGGGGTTAGGTGTCGTGCCCAGGGGGAACCTCAATCACATACTGTCGGCTCAGGGGATCGAATGGGTGACCATCCGGTCACAGGGCTGGTTCCCTAACCTCCAGCCCACAACTGCCCCAGATTTTGAAAAATGCACAAGAAAAAGTGAGGGAGGATAGATCGTTGTCTGTCAAGAAGCCACAACATGAACAAGCAAAACAGAACCGGGACAGACAATGGCAGAAAACCTGATGGCCACCTTAGGTCCTACTACATGTTTGGAAAGGGAGGGGTGAAGGAGGGGAATTTCAGTTGGTTGCAATCTTCAACCTCTCCACTAGTGGCCACTAAATCTTACACACTGCACTTTAAAACTATGAACTGCTTTTAACTCTTTAAGAATAATGCAAAAATGTCACTATATCCTCCATTTAATCTGGTCTACACTGTTAATCACATGACTTCTCAATGCTTTAGTAGAGCATGTAAAGAACATGTTCATAGTTCGGTTCATAGTTCAGTTCATAGATTTCAATGTGTTTTGTGTCTCGTAATAACTTTTCAAAGTTTAATCTTTAAATGTGCTCAAAGCGCATCCAACAAGAAAGGAAACCACTTTATGTTGTGTCTCTAATAACTGTGTAGTTACATGTTAACAACATATGCAACAACAATGTAACTATTAATGATTTAGTCACTGTTACAGATGGATTACAGAAGGACACATTACGTAATTACACATGTGTATCAACTTCAGTTTTGCTTCATGTAATTACACAAGTGTATCTTAGTAGTTGTAACAGCCTATTCTCTCTCATGTAATTGCACAAGGGTAATAACATAAATGTAATTACATTGGTAATCAGACTGGAACAGCAGTTGTTTTCAGAGGTTTTTTCCAGCATGAAAAGAAAGTATGTAATAACTTACATTGCCATTACTTACAGTGTATCTGCCAGCTTTCCTAACATTTACCTAGCATTTATGTTGCTGTGACACTGTAACCAGTTTCAGCTTTTAACCCATTCTGTAATGTGACAGAACAGCAGACGACCCCTTATATTAAAATGTAACTGTTATGGCATTAACTGTGTTTTATTAACCCTAAAGCAAGGTCTATATTACCATTATTACACAGTACCTACATAATAACTACACAGGAACTGTCTACTTAATTTAAAGTGTAACTTTAACACTACAGGAATGTTCCTGTGTAGAAGATACACTTTTGTAATTACATGAGAAAAAACTGAAGTTGATACACATGTGTAATTACATAGGCTGTACTTCTGTAATCCATCTGTAATACTGGCTAAATCAACAGTAGTTACAGTGTTGTTGTATATGTTATTTACGTGTAACTACACAGTTATTAGAGACACTTAATATAAAGTAGGACCAAGGAAACCTTGTGCAACTTTTATACTGTGATAGGAAACACAGCGTGCACATGCTCTAACTCCTCTGGCAGCAGATTTAAACGAGTTTAAGGAGCTGTTGCCAAATTCACAGAATGGAGATGCTCAGTTCCACAGATTTGAGAAGAGAGTGTCTTTTTTGCATTAATGTCTAGTTACCTGACGATTTTACTGTGGAACTGAATAGTGATGTTGGATTGGTTGTGATGACTCCCACTGTGTGTCTATCAGCCAAAAGTCTTAAATCTTTACAACCAACCCCTACAGTTTGTCCTTATAGGACAAATCAAGCAAGACAGCGACTCTTATTCATCAAAGTTGCATAAAAACAGTGCAGATTTGGCTTTAATGATGTACAAAATACTTTGTGTCTAATTCATGAAACCTTCATATGAAGTGGGAACGAATGGAGATTTGAGTGCAAATTGAGGGGGCAGTCGTGGGCTGGAGGTTAGGGACCCAGCCCTGTGACCGCAAGGTCGCCGGTTGAGTGCCCTTGAGCAAGACACCTAACCCCCAACGGCTCCCCGGGTGCTATGGATAGGGCTGGCCACCGCTCCGGGCAAAGTGTGCTCACTGTCCCCTACTGTGTGTTCACTAGTGTGTATGTGGTGTTTCACTGCACGGATGGGTTAAAATGCGGAGGTGAAATTTCCCAGTTGTGGGACTAATAAGAGTCACTTAATCTAAATAAAATGATGAATCAACTTCAGTGTGTTGGAAAAAGCCCCCGCCTACCAGTACCTCATTTACATCTCATTTACTTGGAGCATGCAGATAGGTGAAGGGAGCCAATAAAACGACACCATTCAGCAGCTCATGAGCCAATAGTTGTGCTGTGGGCGGAATTTGCAAGTGCAGTGCTCCCCCTACTGACCAAACTTTATTGTGCTAAAATTACAACTACTGGACAGAATAAAATGAACAAAAATGTCATTTATAACATGTTAGAATGATGTGATTGTGTAGTGTGATTATTTTCCTAAAATGAACACATCTTTTTTCCATTTGTTTTCAGAATAAATTCAGGATAATGCTTTATATAATTGGCCTATTTGACAAACGTAAGTGCTGAAGTTCCTCTTTCCTGTATTTCTTTTCAAACAGGGTGATTCTGGTTCCGGTCTCCTGAAGAAAGAGCTGGTTTCGAAACGTGTATTATTTTTGAAAAAGGAGAGGACGGCAGATGTGCTGTATGGAGTTCTCCTTAGTGGGCAAGATGCATGCGAAGATAAATTTGTTTTTGTTGACCTCTGTGCCAAAAAGATAAAGAAGTGGATAGATAAACTTGTGTCATAAACCTTGAAGAGGCTCTTGCAAAGTCCTAATATATAAAAGTAAGAAAAACTATAACACTGGTCTGTAATCTGTTTTAACAGGAACAAAAGATTAAAAAGGTTAATAAGGGCAGGGTTTAATTACTTATTTGTTTGCTAAGATTTGAAGTTTGCTTTTTCTCTATCTGTTTCTGATCAGGTCTTATTTTTCTTTTTACAGAACTCTGCAGTTTTCTTGTTTGCACTGTAGCTTTCTGTTCTTTGAGGAACTCAAGTTGAAAAGAAATCACAAATAAAATGTTCAACAGTGACAACTTAGCATAGCCTTCTAACCCAAGCATATATATATATATATGCTTGGGTTAGAAGGCTATGCTAAGTTGTCACTGTTGAACATTTTATTTGTGATTTCTTTTCAACTTGAGTTATATATATATATGTATATATATATATATATATATATATATATATATATATATATATATATATATATATATTGTACGAATTATTATATATATAAGTTTTCATTTTAGCCATTTGCTCCATTCACCCCTGGGTGCCCCCCTAGTGTATTTGAAATAATGGGTGAAATGGGAAGTAGCCAGGTTCCCATTAAAATGACTCTGTGGCTGCTTACATTATCTAAATGTTTTCATCTCAAGATCTCATTTTTGGGGTGTACCTACAAATAACAAACCAAGTAAAAACACTGGCCAACACATCTCATTTAGTATGTCTATTTATATTCCCCCAACCCGGGTCTTGTGGAAGAGTAGAAGAGTGCTCCATTGTTTGATCTCAAAAAGGCTTTTATGATCACCTATGTTAGCGCTGCCCCCCACTACACTCATATGGCTAAGCTTGAAACTGGATAAATTGAGATATCAGTCAAGTGTTGTTTGTACCAACTTTCAAATATTGTCACAGGTAAGAACAATCTAGAAATGCATTACACTGCTGTTCATTCACTTTTAGCTGCACCACAAAAACGGAGGCAGAAAAAAATATTTTTAGAACTGTCGGGATGTACGTAGTAGAGGTTTCACAACTCATCTATGTAGTTCCCTATCTAGAACAAATACTAAAGAAGTAAAGAAGCAGGCAGCCTGAGCAGTTCCACATAAGAAAAGTCACTCACAGATGTAGATAGGGGAGTCACAACACCTTCTTTACCAAGGGGTTTATTGTAGGAGTTGGTGCACTTAAGTGTTTCAGAGCTGCCAGCCTATTTTCATAAAGAGAACTGGTGCTAGTATCTCACTACTCCTTGCAGCCTTTGTTGACTGAAGCAAATGGTCAGAATTTGAATACGGTGTTGCATTGTATCCTGTGCAAACCAACTACACTGAACCACACTTATGACCAGCTTGTACCTTCCACTCACTGGCCACTTTATTAGAAACATGTACCTTGTATGTGCACTAACTGGCCAATTTCTCAGAAACATCTACCTTGTACTTCCACTATTTGGCCACTTTATTAGAAACACATACCTTGTGTTTCTACTTACTGGCAACTTTATTAGAAGAGCAGCAATTGTTAGGCTACAGTCTGCTTTTTTTCCAGATATTATTTGAGTTATGGACCAATTTCATGATGCAATGAAACCTTTAATCATGCAAAGGTTTCTTTGAGTGTTCATGGTTCTACATAGAACAATTTTCTTTACTAAAGAACCCTTGAAGCACCATCTTTTTTTGATTTGACCCTACTTGCCAACTACTTACATATCTTACTTAGTTACTTAGAGATTAACTTTTTTATATGTTCATAATGACCTTAGGAATTCAAATTCCAAATTCATTAAATTATTATAATTAATTTTAGATCGAGCTAAATAATTTATTTCATTATCTCTTTCTTGTACATATGTATGTCACAGATATTTTATTTATGTTGATGACATCACATCAGGAATCATTTCACACCTTTAATGTTCATTGACCCTTATGTTACAAATGAAGCCAAAAGAGTTTTATTTCTTTTTTCTGAAATAAACTTCGTCACTACCACTCTTGTGGGCCCTGGGGTCAATCTGATTATATTCTACCCTGAGTTTCAGAGGGGGATGACCAGAGGGAGACCATGCTGTTTGGGCATTTTTGACACAAATGCTTCCCTCTCAGCCTCAGCAGGTTATTGTCAGTGTTTATGTGTGTACATGTCTTGCTATCCTTTTAAGGAAAACATGTCCTCACTATGATAGGAAAACATGACATTCTTGCTCAAGTGAAGACATTTATCTGGTCCTCACTTGAACACATTTATATTTTTGGAAAAACTAGAAGAGCAGAAAAATCGCCTTTTCAATACTGAGGTTGGACCCTGAGGTTAAGGTTAGGGTTAAGCTTAGGCTTGGATGCTGAGGTTAAAATTAGGCTTAGATTTAGGTGTAGGTGTAGTATTACTTGTGGTGTATGTATGTGTTTGTGTTTGTAGTGTGTGTGTGTGTGTGTGTGTGTGTGTGTTTGTATTGTGTGGGTGTATCAGGCTTATGTTACATTGTGGGGACCTTCCTTCTTTGTTGGGACCACAATGTAAATCATTCAATTTTAAGATGAGGGATTAAGATTTAAGGTTCTGGTTAGGCTACTGGTAGGTATGGTTAAGGTTTCTCCCCAGTCAGGTGTATTCTCAATTGCCATTCTGAACTACAGGGTCAGATTTGACTCTGAACACTGTTTTTAATCAAAATAGTGTAGAGATTTCATAAAAACATGGTCATTTCAATTATTCATATTATCACTGTTAAGGAAATCATCAAGTTTCATGAAAAAATAATGTGCAAAGATATTTTTAGAGACACTGACACCTGAAAAAGGACCATTTTGACATATGATTATAGGGGTTAATGACAGGGTGCAATCGCACTGGCATGAACTTTGATGACTAACAGTGACAAAAAAATCTCTGATGAGCTTTTTTCACTAAGGCTCAATTTCACAGTTTTGCTTCAATTCTTCTCGTGATATCAAGATAACAAATGTTTTCTCAACATGACAACTTATTTGGCTAGCAATCCCAAGATAACAAAAGCTGTCCAATCTTGATAATCTTGAGATTGCGAGAAAAATCAGTCATGACCTCAAGATAACAGTCCAAAAATATGGTAACTACTTCATGGCCTCTCTGGACTTCCATAGATTTGTCTACACTCAGTGTTTGCACTCAGATCTTAAAATTGCTGTTGGAAGAAGGCACCCTTCAAATATGAGAGACCTGGAGCAGTTTGCAAAAGAAGAGTGGTCCAAAATTCCAGTTGAGAGGTGTAAGAAGCTTGTTGATGGTTATAGGAAGCGATTGATTTCAGTTATTTTTTTCCAACGGGTGTGCAATCAAATATTAAGTTGAGGGTGCCAATAATTTTGTCCAGCCCATTTTTGGAGTTTTGCGTGAAATTATATCATTTTTGGCTTTTTTTTCTCTGTTTTTTTTGTGTTGTTCCAATACACACAAAGGAAATAAACATGTGTATAACAAAACATGTGTAATTGCAATAATTTGATAAAACTGGAGTGACAGTAATGATTGTTATAATTCTTTTTAGTCAAGGCTTAGGCTTAATCTTGGTCTGGGAATCAGGCCCAAGGAGTATCCAGTGTGCATTGCCTCACTTTCAGAGCCATGTACACATTTAGAGCCATTAAGACAATGTAGAATAATACACATGTGTATTTCCCACTTTTGCCTTGCCAAAAGGCTGGAACTTGAGATTGGTACTTGATTTAAAAAGCAGTACAGTCAATGAATATTAAACTTATAGAACCATACATTTGGTTTTAGTCTCTTGAAGTCCCTGGAATATTATACCATAAGGCTTATCATTGATTAAGCACCTGGAAAGCAATACAAACTTCTGAAAATCTGAATGTCTAGCTCAACTGTGTATTTTGCCCGATTATGGATGGTCATTTAAAAAGAGTCTGAGCCAAAACGAGCTGCCAGCATTGGACCAGTTGTGGCACACTTGGCTGGCAGGAACTGGGCCAGAAGTGGGCCAGCATTTCATGATTACTTCCATTAAATCTCTTGTGTAGTCAGTCACTGAATCTTCTTGTCTGTTTTTAAACAGTAACATGTTTTCTCTTTCCTTCTTTCTTTATTTCTATCCCAACAGGATGATTATGGTTCTGGTCTCCTGAAGAAAGAAATAAAAAAAAATAATTATCAAGAAGGTGAAACAGACAGATGTGCTGTTTGGAGTTCTCATTGAAGCGCAACCTGATAAATTTATTTTTTATAATATCTGTCATAAAGAAACAAAGGACTGGATAGATGGCGTTTTGAAATCCAAAAAGCTGCTAGGTCTCCTATAGAGCATAAATATCTAACGTTTTATTGCTTATTTGTTTGCTTTACATCATTTATTTGATTAAAAATGTTTGTTTGCTTTTACTACATTTCTCTCTCTCTCTTTCAGAAACATGCCATATCTATTTTTTCCCAGAAACATGCGCACATTTCTCATATGCATGTTATGCATGGAAAGTCAACTACAGAAATGTGGTCAGAATTGCAGTTTTCTTGTTTGCTTTGCAGATTTCTGCATTTTTGTCACTCAAAATGTAAAGAAAAAAACAATAAAGTGTTCAGCAGTAAAATTAAGTGCATCATAAGTTTCTTAAGCCTGAAATGAATGTGATCAGCCAATGATCAGCAAGTGATACCTTTGTAATATGATTATAGGCATACGGAGTTCACTAAACTGTATGAGTCAGTTTCCTGGACCGTGCTAAGCTGAGTCCTCGATTTGAACAACATCCTGAATGGAGATTCTCCATCAAAAGGAAAGTGTAGTCCCAGGAATGCAGATGGTTTCATCATCAGGGCTTCATTATATTCACTGAGCAGTTTGTTTATCTCCTCTGGGTGTGTTACACACTTTAGCACCTAGATGGCGATGTTGGTTCATTAAAAGAGAGAACAGAAATGTACTCAGTTTAAAATTCAGTTCATTATTTTTATTATGTCAGAAGAAAACCCAGTATCTCCAAAATGGCAACTTTACAGCAGAAGAAAAAAAAATCTTAATTTAAAAGTGAAAGTTAATGTAATTTT